ACTTCGGGGCCCGCCGAGAGGTGGACCGTTCTCCCCCCCTTCAATTGAAGGGGCCCAGGGACACACAAATAAATACACACACATCCCAAGATTCCGTATATTTTTCCGTATTCTCTGGGCTTTCGTCTTCCCCCACACGTGCCATATTTTTCTAGATTTTCTTTGGAATCGACGAGTGCGTTTGTCCCCCTCTTGATCAATTGCCCCCCCATTAGAAGCGACGCCCAATAGGCTGCAGATGTCCCGGGGGGTCTCCTGGAAGCTGGAGGCCTCTGGGGGCCCAGTCCTGGATCCCGACTTCTCGGAGCGACGAACGGGGAAGGCGGAGGCCTCCCGAAGGGGTCGCCGCATCGCCGGCGCGTCGGCGATGCATCGGCGAGGTGTCGTCGACGTCGGCGTGGCGAAAATTTGGCTCCACATCGCGGCGACGCGGCGCGATCCTCCAACTCCATCTGCTCCGACCCCATCCTGAAAACATGGAGGGAGACGGCGCGAACAAAAGCGTCCGCGCGGCTCTCCTCGCAGCCGTGCAGAACTCTGGCCCCGCCCCCTCTCGGGAGCTGGCGCCGCTCCTCGCAGGCGGCCGTCGCCCACCGCTCGGCCGCGCCGTACTCACGTGAAAGGCCCCGCACGATCTCGGAGAGCTGCCGCCCCCTGGCGCGTGGCCGGGGGCATGTCAGGGGGAGCAGGAGATAGAAGAGGAGCAGGAGGAGCCGGGAGGAGGAGGAGGAGGAGGAGTGGAGCAGAGTCCCACAACGATGTCTCGCCAACCTGCTGCCCCCCCGCCTCTCCCGAACGCCGCGGACGCCGCGACGAACCCGTCGAGGGAGGCGGGGGGACAGCACCTTGCCGCAGGCTGGTGGCCTGCACAATCATGCCAGACAGCACCTGGTTAGGTCCAGGGGACAGCGATAACACAGCGTGCTCTCGACCAAGACCTTGGAAACACCTAGACCACTGAAGCTGCACAAGGCTTGTGGATGCCACGATAATGGACACCCTAACAGTCCAATCGTTGAATTTTAAATATGTTAAAAATGTCGGAAACATGTTCGAAACATGTCTTAAACATGTTTAACACATGTTTAAGACATGTTTTAGACATCTGGAAATTATTTGGCAACATGCTTCCTCTCCATGGATCGCCCTCCACAGCACAAGGCTTCAACTCTGCCTGCCACCCGAGGTGGGCGCTGGGGCCGCAACCGCGGACCGATCGATCGGCGGCCCCAGTCGGAGTCGCAGCACGCGGCGCGCCGGCGGGGCCTTGATGATCAATGCCCCTTGGCGGCGGCTGCTGCACCACACCGGTGCTTGGCAACAACTTCGCACGTGCATCACTCCTCCTCCTCCTCCTCCTCCTCCTCCTCCTCCTCCTCCTCCTCCTCCCCCTCCTCCCCCTCCTCCTCCTCCTCCTCCTCCTCCTCCTCCTCCTCCTCCTCCTCCTCCTCCTCCTCCTCCTCCTCCTCCTCCTCCTCCTCCTCCCCCTCCTCCTCCTCCTCCTCCTCCTCCTCCTCTCGGTATCGGTGCAAGCCGTCTGCGGACTTCCAACCACGCCTCCCCGGTGTCGATCAAGCCGTCGGCGCCGCCGATCAAACATGCTGTGCCCGATCTCCTGCACGCCCGCGCACCCACTCGGCGGCGCTCTTGTCCTACAGCTCGGCGTGCGACTATTCCAGCGGCACGACATCGGGACACTCTGAGGATGAAGGTGCGGTCTGCTCCGAGCCCTGCGCCTGGTTCTGCCGCTCCGCGTCACAAAGCAACGCTATCTCGCCGCAAACAGGAAACAGTGCTGCGCACAGCATGTGCGCAATTGCCCACGCAGTCTTGGAGCGGCCCTCTGGAGACAGGCGGCCTCCAGATTCGTCGCGCGCCACGTCCCGCCGGGGATGCGACACGGCTCGACTGTATCGGAGTCCAGTAAGTCCCGCACAGTTCGAGTTGGGGATCGACTACAAAATTAGTGTACCCCAGAATTCGCTGTTTCGTCGAATCCATGCAAGATGCTGCATCTTCTCTGTCGAGTCGACGAGGAAGTCAATTTTTTGGGGGTATATCACTTTCTCTAGTCGATCCCCTGCTCGAGCGGTGGGGGCGAAGTCCAGCTCCTGCCCCACGCCGCTGCCCGCAAGCCCGCCGCCAGCGGCTCGTGGCTTGCCTTGCCACCCGCCACCCTGCTGCCGCGCCCGTGCGTCGAGGCCTCGGGGGAACACGTCGAGGGGCCGCTCAACCGAGCGACTCCTGTCCCGAACTGTGGGAAAGCGCCCCTCGGCCCGCATCGGGGAACTTCTGACCCGGGTCAATGCAGACCCGGGTCAATCAGGCCTGCAAAATCCTGCAAGATCCTGCACCCAAGCCCGGGTCAATGCGAAGGATCCTGCAGGATCCTGCAGGATCCTGCGCCCAAGCCCGGGTCAATGCGACCCTGGCGCTGCAGGATCCTGCCAGATCTGGCGCTCTGGCTGACCCCCGTCTGCACTGACCCCCGTCTCGAGGCTCCCGACCGCACCCAACTGTGCATTCACCGGCAGTGCCGCCCCCAAGCGACCCATCGGCGCCTGGCGAGCCCGCCACAGAGCTCGAGAGGTAGACCAAGGGCATCGGCGACTCGCGCCCCGAGCTGCGAGAAAGCGCTCTTAGGCCCGCACCCAGCTGCGCTTGTACCGGCAATATGCTGCCCCAAGCGACCCTAGGCGCCTTGCGAGATCGCCGCGAAGCTCGTCAGGCGGACCGAGGGCATCGACGGCCTTGTGCGCACACCTGACTACCTACCAGACCACCCCAACCCAACCCGAAGACCCGAATTTCGGGTTGGGGGGGTAGGGGTTCCACATGTGTTTTTTCGATGTTTCCCGACCCCCCCCCACTGGAAATCGAGGGTAAATCTGAGCCTTCGGGTTGGGTTGGGGTGGTTCGGTGGGTGGTGAACACCGATCGGCCGTGCAGGACTGCTGTGCGGGCTCGAGCCTGGCTTTCGTGCGCTCCCCCCTCGGAGCGGGACCAGAAGCGGAGCGAGCCCGCCGCTGCGTGGCCGAGCGCGGCGCGCTCGAACGACGTTGGCAGACTTCGGGGTCACCCAAAGGAGAAGGTTGCCAACTAGCAGCGCGCGTGTTCGTGGACAACATGCTCCTATGTTTTGTGCTACTTTCAGGGGGCACTCAACCGGGTAACGCCTAGACGGGGTAACAGACCCACCATGGGATCCAGGTGGAAAAACTGCAGCGACCAGAACAAACACATGCACTGCATTCTTCTGCAACGCACAAAAAAACAACACTGCAATTTGTTGGCAACTCATTGCGGAAAAAAACTGCAAACAAGCCCCACAGACCGGGTAACAGAGGGGCCAACACAAAAAGTTGCAGTGCAGCACCCGAAACTGTGCAACGCGGCCAGCATGTGGAAGGTGCTGCATCGATTGCGAAAGCCAAAGAAAAATGTACTGCAACAAAAGGGCCATTTGATGCCTCGAACCGGCCGTTTCCTGTTACCCCGTCTCTGGCTCCCTGATATTTTTTTTCGTGGATCTCCAGGGAAACCCAAGGCCCTCTGGATGATTGGCGTCGCGCGCCAGGGGGTGGGGCGACGGGGACGGTGGCCCTGTACGAATGCAGGGGGCCTTGTTGGGATCACGGGCTTCTCATCGTGGATCCGAAAAACCATCAGGGCCGCGCTGAGCTCCATGGGAGTTGCGGGAGTTGCCTGTGAATGCCACTAGAACCGCCCGTGCGCTGACCTGACTAATGCTGTGGAACTGCCGCCTCTCAAGGCCGCAATGAATCAGGTCAATACGTGGGCCTCCAAAGAGTCACCTAGCGGGACTGGCCCGACCCGAACGATGACCAAACCCATGCTTGATTCCGACTTTTACGGGGGCCCTCAACATACGGGAGGGTCTCTACTAGGGAGCCCACGAACGACGCACGCGCCAGGCCGCGTGCATGGATACGGCCCTCTTGTGCGCGAGGCCAGCCTGGTGTACGAAGGTTCGCGTAACGCACGCTCTCGAAGCTTACAATAGGGGCCCGACCACAAGAAACCTTCCGCAAGAAACCCAACCCCGAGACCCCAGGACGTCCATTGCTTCTTGGTGTGGGAACGTCACGCTCCCCACGGCAAAACCATGAAAAACCGAGAAACCCAGGGCGCCCTGGAGGCAAGCAGGGTGTTTCTTGGCATGGGTCTCCACTGTACGGGCGCTCATGCAAACGTGCATGTGTTGGACCGCTCCTAAGAGTGGGAAGATCGCACCAGAAAATCGACCTGCACATGCCCACCCCCTGGGGGACACCGCCCGCACTACGAGTTGGGATGCCCCCCAGAGACGCGTGCGCCTCAAGGGCAGCGCACAGTGAGGTGAGAGGTAGAGGTAGAGCTATGCAGGTGTTGCCACTGGCCAGGCCTGCACCATCGTACACCACTCCTGCTGCTGCTGCTGCGCTCCCGCTGGCGGACGCACACGTCCGAAGTGTCACGCGCACCGCGACAGGCCGCGGCCGCGCCCGATCGCCGCCAAATCGTCGCCATCGTGCGTCATCCTGTCGTCGTCATCATCATCATCGTGGTCCTGGGCGGGCGAACGAGGAGGCGGCGTCGACACGACCAGCCCCCACCACTCCTGCTGCTAAGCCTCCCCCCTGCACTCCTCGAAGGCCGCCCCCCTCGCCCAGGCCCCCCTCGCGCCGCCGCCGGCCCTGGCGGGCTGGGCCGCTGGGGCCACGGCAGGCTCGTGCCGCCCCGACGCAGGCCCGGCGCCGACCACCCTTAGGCCGGGCGTCCTCCTGCAGGCGGATTCTGGAAGACAAGGGAAGCATAGCCAAACAAATGTTCAAACATTAATAAATAACACATGATCGACACATCGTTCCCAGACAATCTTTTTGGACCACTTGTTTTCATATTCCTCCTGTAGAGGGGCATGCCCGACTTAAGACTGCTCCTCACTGGCGCGAGCTGCTCAACCTTCGGGGGCGCGCAAACTTGGATTAGCGATCCATGGATTTGGCGCGCGGTCGCCAAACCCATGGATCGGGGGAGGCCCTCTCCCCCAAATGCGGTCGGTGCCGCCTCGCTCGGCGGCGGAAATCTGCGATTCCCCGTGGAAGCGGGACCCGTCGTTGATCCATGGCCCGATGATCCATGTTTGCGCTCGCCTGAGGCTCACGTCTGGATCCTGCCCCTCCTGCCGCCGCTCCTCCTCCTCCTCCTCCTCCTTCTACTCAAGCAACTTGGGCCCGAGCATTTTGCGGCTCCCAAGTCCTCTGCACCTCCACGTGGTGCTTGAGGGACTTGGCCCTGGTGTCCGCCACACCACTGGGGCCACGACCAAGACAGAGGTTTGTACCAACCAGTACACTCGTCAGCAGCATGTCGGCGTCGACGCCTCCATGGACGAGGTGCGACAAATGCAAGCGCTGTGAGTGGAATTCGATTCTCAGCATGAACCAGCGGAAGTGCCCAGGCTGCCAGACCGTTCTCACGCTCTACAAGAAACCGGTCAGAGGCACTGTCAGGTTCGACCTTGACACGGAGTCCGACGACATCGAGGACTTCTATGAGTGTGAGGAGGTGCCCAGCGGCGACTCGGGAGGTGGCGGCGGCAGCAGGTCGACTCGGCGCAGCCGCAGCCCATCCCCGTCAGGCATCAAACG